CAAAAATCCCCAGTGTTTAGAAACGAAGGAGGTGGATCTTTGGAGAGCTTCGAAAAGAACAGTCAGTGGGTGAAAGTTCAGGGCAGGGAAAGAAAGGTGAACGCGTTGGCTCCAATCCAATTAAAGACTTTCGAACTTTCCGTCCAGATTATGGCATAATAGGCCACAAATTCCAGTGTCCCCGGGGGTTACGCCACGTGATTGAGGACGGCCAGAATGGGACCTGCTCTGGCCAATTCCACACAGCGAGGCTCAACTCCAACCTGTTGTCCTCGTGCAAGAATGCAGGTCCCGTGTGGCCAGAGACTCTGAGTTTGTAAGAAGTAGCAGAAATCTTGATTTTTATGTAAAACATCATTTTTATAAATGTGGACAGTTGAGTTTTGAAAATGTTCAAACACTGTGTGGACAAAGGGAGACCTTTTTGTGGTCTTCATTTGCTCTCACATCTCCAACTTCTTCTGTTCTCTTCCACGGACTGCCCTGTGCTCCCCCACGTTTTCTCCCATTCCAGGTCCCCGGACTCAAGAGTCTAATGTGTTCCCTTTTTCCATAGCATTGCCTTGGACGAGAGCTGTCGAGATCTCCCCATGGACTATTTGGTGAATTTCAAATGTTCTGGGCCTGCTCTCGGGGCTCTCGTCTCTCTAGCCTCAACAACAAAGTTTCACCCTGTAGTTCCACCCGGTGGTTCGGAAGCTGTGGTCTGAACTGCAAGTTCTGTGCATTTCCCCTCAAAGGAGACTGGTTCATCCCTGCGTTCTCGCGTTAGTTCTCGGTGGTGTGCCCTCCTTTCCCTTCTTTATCATCAGACTCCTCGTGGCTCTCTGACCGCCCCAGACATCACTCACATGTCCTTTCTTCTGGGCTGTGTTGCCCGCATCATTAAGCACTTCCTCTGCTGCTACTCTTCCATGAAGCTTGTCTCTTTGCAACCCATATCTCATATCATTTTTGGAGTTTTATGGCTGTCCCTCCAATTCAACCCTGAGAGTTTAACTTGGGAGTTAGCAAACCTTTCTGGTAAAGAGCCAAACTGTAAATATTTTTGGCTTTGCCTGCCCCGGCGATCTCTGTTGCAACCACCCGGCTCTGCTCCTGCAGTGCCGAAGCAGCCGTAGACACGCTGTAAGCACGTGGGCATGGCTGAGTTCCCATAAAACTTTTTGTATAAAAACAGGTGGTCGGATCTGGCCTGACAGGTATAGTTTGCCAGACCCAAATCTACTTAGGCAAGTACAGTGTCTTATTCTTTCTATTATATAATAAATAGTTAATAAATGTCGGTTAGAGAATGAATCCTTCAAAGCTCAATTCAAATTTACTACTTTTATAATCTTTCTGTGAAACTCAAGGACACAGCACTATTTTTCAACTTCTGAGCATCTGTAAGTACTTGTTATCCACATAACCTCATATGACTGTCACTATCATTGTGCAATAGTCACTTAATGCGGCTGTGATGAATTAGGCCTGATCTATGTAATTTCTAGGGACCTTTGTTCTAAAATCCGACAAGTCGATCTATCATCTTGTACTGCCACCTACTTGTGTATTTTTGGTTTTTCTCCCCCTCAGACTAATTTTAAGCTTCTAGAGAGTAAAGCCATATCTAATTTTTCTCAGGATTGCTAAAATGCCTGATACAGTGATACAGTGCTATTGTCATAGTATTAATTTATTTATTCATGTAATACATGTCTTTAGATCAACATGGTATGTGAAGCAGACACAAAAATAAGCAAAATGGAAATGGCTCCTACTCGTGTCGAAGTCAAAGTCTAGCGAACTAATGATTGTATGATCATAAACTGAGGTAGAAGCTCTGAATGAAAGGGCATGGTTTTATAACAACATTTCATAAAGAAAGCAAACGAATCCTGAGGTAGGGATAGGAAGGAAGGGCAGGAAGGGTGTCACAGAGGAAGTAATACTTGAGCCAAGATTCATTTATTTAGCCAATATTTATTCAGTACCTATTATTTGCCAGGTGTCATTCTAAACACTCAGAATACAGTAGTTATCTAAACAGACAGAAGTTCTTGCCTTCATGGAACTTGTTTTCCAGAGGGAACTGAAGAGTGAGTGAAAATTAGGTAGAAGGGAAAAAGGTGTTGAATAACATTCTGGAAAGAGGGAACAGTGCAGACAAAGATCCCAGGTGGGAGGGAACCTGCCACATCCCAGGAACTGCAAGGGCAGTGTGGCTCTAGCACAGAAAGATCCAGCCACCCAGGGAGACAGGGGCTCGTTGAGGTATGGCCTCATAGGTAATATGACCCTATAACTTATTCTCTAAAGCAGGGCACTCTTGAGAGTGAATGAGGCATTATTAACCATTACCCCAAGCAAAAACTGGTATAGTTCCAGAAAACTGGATATATGGGTATCCTACTCATAGGCCACATAATGATTGTTACCATGACTACATTTACATTGTTTAAAATGATACCTTTTGTTGCTGTGGAAAACTAATTAATGTGAGGAGGAACTGTGTGGATGTGAGGGGCCAGCTGTTATGCTATTGCAGATGTCCAAGTACTAGAGGACTATGGCTGGGGCTGGGGCTGGGTAGCAGAGGAAATGGAGAGAGAGGAATAGATTGTATAACTATTTAGGAGACAATTTTAACAGGACTTGGTTGATGTCAACCAAGTTGTAAAAATTAATGGAAGAATGGGTATTGGAGGTGGGGGGAAGGAATGGGAAGGTTGTGCTGGGAGAAGGATAGAGTTGTTTATAAAGAGATTCAGGTGCCAAGACCTACTCTTAGCTCCAGCAGCTAAGTATCCAGGGAGTATTTTGAGTGCTGGTCTTAGCCAGGTACAGTGGTTCCTGCCTATAAACCCAGCATTTTGGGAGGCCAAGGCAGGAGGATCGCTTGAGGCCAGGAGTTTGAGACCCGCCTGGGCACCAGAGCAAGACTCTGCCTCTACAAAGAATAGAAAAATTAGCCAGGCATGGTGGTGCGCACCTGTAGTCCCAGCTACTCAAGGAGGATCATTTGAGCCCAGGAGTCTGAGGTTGCAGTGAGCTATGATGACATCACTGGCCCCCCGCAACAGAGCAAGACCCTGTCTCAAAAAATAATAAAAATAAATGCTGCAGAATTGAGTTGCTGGTCTTGATGAACCTGAAGATTGTAGTGAGCACCACGACGTCTATCAGTGATTATTAGAGAGAATGTAACCCAGGTTTTGACACTGGAGGAAGTTTGACAGAGCAAGAACAATGGGTAACAATGTGTCCTTTCGTCAAAATGACAGACAAGTTCATGTACATTGAGGAAAACGGGGGATCTTGATGGTTTTCATGGCTCAAGACAATCAAGACAAAGCATGAAGAACAAGGAGGCCGAGGTTCTAAATTGAGTTTGATATTGAAGGTTCAATATTGGGTGTTCGAACGCCAGAGCAAAGAGTAAAACATCATACGAAGCGACAACCAGACCAGCGAAGCAGAGAGCCAGAGCTGTGATTTGTGGACACTGGTGTTTCAGAGACATTTAGCTGAAATATCCAACCAAAGCTATATTTGGAAGCTGAGTTTAATACATAATTCAAAAGCCCCTTAACTCACTACAGTTTTAAATGAGATGTTGAAATCGTTGTCCAGGAACAGTGCAGAGCGACTCCTCATCAGTCATTTCTCTGGCCAGCGTGTGCTGCCCAGGTAGGAGGATTTTGTTTCGTTCTCTGAGAGCTTTCAGTCAATCTGATTGCATTTGACCAGCGAGGCCTCAGTGAAGATGTCACTTTACCCTCTACCCTCAGGCACAGACAGCAAGGAAAGCAAAGAAACTCCGAGTGGCCAAGGCCCTCAACTAAATGTCAAGAATCCTCTGCCCCTTCCTCCCAAGGCTTCATGCTTCTTCTTTGTTAGCCACTTACTGTACCCCTTAACCTAGGAGCATCCGTTTGCAGAATTGTTATATATAAAACATTCACTTGTTTTAACCAGGCCAAAGTACTGAAGAAGAAGGAAAAAATAGCTTGAATAGTGAGTTTTGTGTGTGTGCACACCCTGCATCCGTTCGTGCAATATACTGGTCACCTCTCACATTTTAAAACTCTCTAGAATTAAGGACGTGGCACTGGGTCCAGCTGAGACCAGATGTGAAGCTCAGGCTTAGACTTGGTGCAGTAGACTGTTGTAACCTTGACTTCTCTCAAAATCAAAATATTCAATTACACAGCCTTTAAAAAAGATGTTACAGAAATATATTTCAAGGCATCAGAAGATGTTCATGATAAATTGTTAAATCAAATACTAGATTATAAAAGAACATGCTCAGTATAATTAAATTTCTATTTTTAAAACAGGCATAGAAAAGGACATGAATGGAAAGTAAAATCCTAAAAGTGATCTCTAGGTAGTAAAATTAATAATAATTTTTCTTTTCTTTTTTTAGATATCTATACTGTCTAAATTTTTTACCATAATGTCCCATGTATGTATAAGAAATCATGTATCTTAGTATAGTTTTCGATATTCATCAATATGCATGGAAGTGTCACTATAAATATCATCTAGTCAGTGAAGTAGGTCTGTCTGTAACCAGGCCATCTCATGTTATGAATGACTAAGAACATTTGATTCAAAGTTGGGCTGCCTTGTTGTGTCACCTTTGGTAATTTAACTGACTTCACTGTGCCTCGCCTGTTCCATTTGTAAAATGGGGATCATGGTCATTGCCAATTCTAATAGATTGCCAACGAATAGATGAAAAAAAATGCTTATAGTAAGCTCCCAATAAACATTAGTTAATCTTACGATTACTTAAAGCAATATTCTTCTTGAATAGGTGCCAAGAAGGTTCTAGAATGGAATGTAATATTTTGTGGGCAAAAAGTGCTTTAAAGAAAGCTGTCTGTAGTGGAGGCAAATGCCAAACACGTTGTAAAAGCAATGGTTTTATGGGAACCCGTTAGGGAAAACCATTAGCCACAGGGACGGACGTTTCCTGCCCCTTACATGCATGCAATTATCTCTCAGCCTACCTGATACTGTTAAGTAGCTTGGCTGCCCGCAGAGTCTTGATCCACCCAGTGGAGAAATTCCAGCACTGAACCTGGAAAAAAATATCTGTTACCATTCCTGTATTTTTTAGTTCACTTTGAGCACCAAACTGAGGCCTCCATTTTTTGGACAGACTAGATAACTTCAAGGACAGTAGTGGGTGTTAGCAAAACCTTATTGACTGAGTCATTTTATCGTAACTAAAGAGAGTTTGGGGTAGACATATATTTGTGCAAACACAGTTTAACTTTTTTAGGGCTGTATTCAAAAATAAATATATCCATCGACAAGTTTCAAAGCACAATTATATGATTTGCCTCTTCAGTTATATGAGCTGAGAAAGCATGAGAGATGAATCTGAGTTTAGCCTACTTAGCCAAGTCCTGCTTTTAACCTCGATAGAAGCTACTTTCTTATCTTAAAACAGACGAAGCTTCCTGAATGCCAACAAAACAAACTACACCTCGAAGCTGCCAAATACACAACAATTAGATGAGAACACAACAAGGTGTGTTTTGAATACCAGAGTCACCTAGGACACTAGTTTTTCAAGAATTGCTAACATGTAGACATGTCTATGAATATGTAGTACTCAACCCACTTCATTCTAGCTACTCTTAATAGCCTTTATTAAGGTGTATTTTATGTGGATTCTATGCCATAGAAAAAAAAAGTTCCACTCCTAGACAACATAATATACTAGACCAGTTCTCTTTTTTGAGATGTCAAATATCTACTTTATTATAGTGAGAAAGTGACAGTCAATTTAAATCAAAATTTATGGAGAACATTAGGAGCTGGAAGGACTTTGGCTAATCACTGTAATGTCCCCAACAAATGGTAAATGAAAGCATAAGGAAATTGAGTTAACACAAGTTAAAAGTTCACATACTTAAGGAATTATATTAGAAGACCTACAACTTAATTAAATTATCTGAAACTGCTCATTTAGCTTCAATTGTACTAGTGAACATTTATGCAATTTTACTGTTAGATATATATTAAGTAATAGGTTTGGATTGGGTCAGATTGCAAGAACCCTAATGAGGCAGAACAGGGGAAAGTTTAATCCATCATGAAGCATCATTCAGAATCTTTAGATTGAATATTATTAGACAGAGATTTCCCTAGTTATTTGGTTGCTCTCTTATATCTATCATTCTGACATTTTGAATAATTGAAAACTCAAACAGGAATTTTGTACATGGAAAAAATAATCTGATGGAGAAGAAATATGTTGTTGATCACCTAATTTTTTTTTCAGTCTTGTATTTGTTTCATCAACTGTAGAAACTCGAAAAGTAGCAAATGTGCAGAATTTTAAAAAATTAAAGACATTGTTAACAGATTTTACATGAAGGATAATTTTGTGAGATACAAAAGATAGAAATTTACATATAAAGTCACATGATTAATATTCGTTTCTCTACTTTGAATTAATTTAAAGTCAGTAAATTCTCAAATCCAAGGTACAAAGCTGTAGAATTGTTACTTTCAAAATGCTTTTTTAATACACAGTGCAGGGTACTAGGTAATTGAATAAACGTGGCATTTCTCTCCTGTATGGCTACTAACTTTGTTGAGAAGAGTAGAAGGCTCCATAACTGAGGTTTCTGAGTCTTCCTGAGGAGCCCCCCAGTACACCCAGAATGGAGCTGCACTCCCCTAACTCCCCTACAGAGAATCCCAAAGCAGCTGGGAATCTTTTGTTGCAATTGAAAAAAAAAAAAAAGATGTGACCTTTAATTCAATCGTTAGAAAAAAAAATTTAGATGTAAAAGTGTAACTTTTTTAAAGCTATAAAACCTTTGGGAAAATTCTGCCCCTTCTTTTCTTTTCTGATGAAACTATGTTGAAAGAATAAATGGTTTGCCATGATACTGGACCACATATACATGTACACACTAAGAAATGAGTGAGAGAAAATATGGCCTCCTGCAGACTTGTTTCTAGCTGCTTGCTGGGGGGAAAAAAATAAGCTGCCTCCTCTCCACTGCATTTAGAGAATTAATTCTCATATGAAATGAAAGGTCCCGTCCAATCCTATTTCACGGTAGCTTTGAGTGCTTGACTGTACCAAAGCAAAGGGCATTACTTGATTGTTCACTGTTGACATCACTTTACACCAGAAGGTGGCAATTATTTTAATAATCACACCAACAAATCTGTTTTGCCTTCAGATTAGATTTTTAGAGATAGTGTTCATTTGGTTCTTGTCAAGGAGTTGCCTTTTGAAACCAGTACGGTTCACTTACAGATTTGTTTCTCAAGATGGTTTTCCACTCCCATTAACTGGCTAAAACATTGTACCTCTTTTAGAATAAAATAAACTGTAAAAATTTTATGTTTCCTTTTATTAAACCTCATCTGTTCACCTGAAACAATTGAAAGGATGCCATTATCAACTCAAATAAAACGATATCATGATAAAGTCTAAGTAGATATCTAGTACACTTAAAAACATGAAGAAGGCACTTCATTTTTCATTTACGAGGAAAACTGGTAAAGGATTTCTCCAGCTGACCATGATATCTGAGAAATGTAGTGGTCTAATAAGATTTATGTCAATACACAATGAAAAAATTTTTCATGTATAAATCACAAGGCATTTATGCCTAACTTACCTCACAAGGTGGCAAAATCCCATAAATTCCTCAATTAAAAGTGAATGGAAGATAAAAGCCTTCTTGAAGCTCAGCGGTTCACAAAAAGCCTATCAGCTTTCTTAACTGTAGGACAAAATGCACAGAAACATCCAAAATACCAATACACTGTAACTGCCTGAGAATCTATCTCCTAAGACAATTTTCCAAAATCTGTCATCTGAACACTGTTTACCAGCCATAAAGAGAGAGGAAGAGGAAGGGGAGGTAGAGAAAAATGTTGGCTCTGTGAAACCGCAGCATTCTTTCCAGATGGTCTCTTTTTCCACAGCTTGGGTTACCTTCATGACAAAAGGATAAGAGGCCAGGGGTGAGCACTCTTTTTTTGTAAAACTGAGAACTCCAGACATTTGTCATCCAGAAAAAATGCCTGCCTCTCAGCAGGATAGATTTTTAAAAATTTTTCTCAGTGCCTTTCTCTAATTGGGTTTCCTCAACTTTTCACACATCCTTTCCCTGCACAAGTCCACAAAAGCCAAAGTTCTCCCACACCTAGTCACCAATGGCAGGCCCATAAATCACAAGAAATTGCAAAGGATTTTTTTTAACATTATGCAATTAACGCCTATAATGTGGAAAAACATTTTATAATATATAACATATTAAAGCAATAGGAAATAGCATGTCAGGTTTCTCATTAGTAAATTCTATTAATGGCTAACATAAAATGACTATCTATTAATATTTTTTCTTCAATTCACATTTAAAAGAAAATATTACAATGTCTTTTAGTATCTGTGCAATACTCATGTAGGAATTTATTATTCCAAAGTGATTTGGCATGCCTAAACTAGCGTGAGCAATATGAAAATTTAAAGATAGCTGAATGCCTATTCTTTAATTTTACTAAAATAATGAAAAACATTTATTATTGGAGCTTACAAAACATGTAAATACTAATTCAAATGAAGCATATATTTTGTACATATATATTGCATTTTTCTACTCAGTATTAAAAACCATTTCTCTTTTTATGCTTTGCTTTCTTTTGTCCCCTAAAAGTAAAGAGAAATTATTGAATCTTGAAAAATCATCCACCAGCCTTTTCTGAACTCTCAGTGTTAGCAAACTTTTCTCTTTAACTTTGAGAAATTACTATTAGATGGATTTTGTGATCTAAATAGCATAAATTTTGACAGTGTAAGTAGAATGTAAACAGTTGCTCTTCCTTTGAAAAGGGTCCGGACTGAATGTTAGAACATTTGAGGGTTTTTGTTTTGGTTTTTTTTTTTCCCCAGGGGGAAATATTTAGATGTAACTATTAGACTATTAAAAATGGGACTTTGAATAAAAATTGATAACTGGGTATAATGTCTTTTGCCTTCAAGCTATTGGTCTGGCACCGGCTTAGGCCTCCCAGAGAAGCCCGCCCTAGCGTCACGCACAGTCTGTCACGCACCCAGGCAGGGCGTCTCCTCAGTCACTGCACAGAGTGACAGAACACCCTCAAAGCCCCCACCCATTGCAAGAGTACAGCTAAGACACCACTGCTCAAGGACTAACATTTGCAAATTCTAAAAATATCTTCATATTAAACATTTTTTAAAAAAAAAAAGGAAAAGAAGCAGTTACTACCTCCCACGTCTCTTCTTAACACGCATGCGTATCTGCCCTCGGGAGCAGCCCTTGTAATACTGCGTGAGAAATTGGGAGGGCCAGTGGTGACTGAGGAAGAGAGGTGGAAAGAGATCTGAAATAATTCATTTGTTTATCTTTTAAATTCATTTTATGGGCTATTTGTAGGAAGGTGTTTTCTCTTGATTTTTTTCCTTTATTTCTAGCATCGACTATGTTTGAATTTGCCTTTGAGTAAAGAAGACTGAAGGGTGGAGGATGGGCAGGGCAGGGTAAACTGACGAAGAATTAGGTTATTGTTGCAAAAACCTGCTTAATCTTTTGTTTCGCTTTTGGTTTGAGCACTGTAAGAGATAAAATGGGTCCTTACGTCACAGATTGTGGCTCTAGGGAATGCACAAGACATCTTTAGAATGCAAAGATCACTACCCCGAGAGGCAGAAGGCCTTGGAAATTACCACCTTGGCCAATTACTCATTGAGTATTTTTGAACGAGTCCTATAACCTCTCTGTGCCTTGCTCCTTTATCTCTAGGATAATTCTAACATTGTAAGTGAATATTTTGAGTTCTACCAAAGTGTAGCTTGATCCAAGGAAGAACTATAATGACACTTTTCTTTTTTAACTTGGATTTCACAAAGGGATTCAGAACAGAATTGTCAACCAGACACAGACATGGACATGACCCTTTGAGCTGATCACTCAAACCCATTCTGAGTGTCCCCATATCTGTGGGCTGTCTGGTGCCCGGGGGCTATGGGAATATGACTCCTGTGATTGAATTCAAAGAATATAAGTGAAAATGTACTAATGA